ATATACAGGTAGATTAATGATTCATCAAAGTTTACAGTCTGCAGTGGCCAGTAACTACATACAAAGAGGAATATACAGGTAGTTTAATGATTCATCAAAGTTTACAGTCTACAGTGGCCAGTAACTACATACAGAGAGGAATACACAGGTAGATTAATGATTCATCAAAGTTTACAGTCTACAGTGACCAGTAACTACAGGGAGGAATATACAGGTAGATTAATTATACATCAAAGTTTACAGTCTACAGTGGCCAGTAACTACAGAGAGGAATATACAGGTAGATTAGTGATTCATCAAAGTTTACAGTTTACAGTGACCAGGAACTACAGAGAGGAATATACCGGCAGATTAAGGAGTCATCAAAGATTACAGTGACCAGTAACTACAGCAAGGAATATACAGGTAGATTAATGATTCATCAAAGTTTACAGTGACCAGTAACTACAGAAAGGAATATACAGGTAGATTAATTATTCATCAAAGTTTACAGTCTACAGTGGCCAGTAACTACAGGGAAGAATATACAGGTAGATTAATGGTTCATCAAAGTTTACAGTCTACAGTGGCCAGTAACTACAGGGAGGAATATACAGGTAGATTAATGATTCAACAAAGTTAACAGTCTACAGTGGCCAGTAACTACAGAAAGGAATATACAGGTAGATTAATGATTCATCAAAGTTTACAGTTTACAGTGACCAGGTACTACAGAGAGGAATATACCGGTAGATTAATGATTCATCAAAGTTTACAGTGACCAGTAACTACAGGGAGGAATATACAGGTAGATTAATGATTCATCAAAGTTTACAGTCTACAGTGGCCAGTAACTACAGGGAGGAATATACAGGTAGATCTTAGGCGTGTTACATGCCAGTGACCTTAATACACGAGATTCATTAAGATCTTAGGCGTGTAACATGCCAGTGACCTAAATACACGAGATTCAGAAATATCTCAGGCGTGTTACATGCCAGTGACCTAAATACACGAGATTCAGAAAG